TTTATTATGAGTATGTTAGCTTAGCAGTGTCCTGCTGCCCCACTAAACCACAGGGATCATTTCATTTCAGCTGTAACGCCTCCCTCACCTCACTTACAGTAAAGCAGAACAGCAGCCAGGCCTGTAAACTAACTCGGATTACTGCCCCACCCCCGGCTTACACTGCGAGGGAGCACATGTCTGAGATAAAGTCATCTTTAAAAACAGATTACTTCTGTTCCAATGAGGAAAAAATGGTTCCTCCGCAACACAAGAGGAGAATAATGTGGCAATATTAGCACAGAGGGGTCTGAATGAATCATCGAGTTAAACTTCAGCAGCCCCACATGCAACAGTATACCCTGCATGCTGTAAAGAGCTGCCTGGTGACGGCTGCCCCACACACAGTCTGCTGACACACACTCACGCACACTGGGGGAACAGGGGAGGGAACAATAGGCGGGTTACTCTACGGTGGTCCAGTCTAGTGTGTCCTTTTTGTTGGGGGAGGATACAGGAGGGACAGGCAGGACAGGCCACACAAAAGGAGGGAGAGAGGAGGGTTTCCTATGGGTTTCTGTGGCACTCACCTGCAAAGGTAGAGGGCGGGGATCTGCGGAGAGCCATTTCACCTCAACTCTGAGGGACAGGCCCTGTTTCCTCTGGGTTTCCCGTCAGTCAGCCACGCTGCTCTGCTGTCAACAGCAGGTGAGAGGAAGCACGACAACACTCTGACTCCGTTGTGCAATCCTCAGCTCAGTGGAAGCTTAGCTCAGCTGGGATAATACTCCTCTCCAACTGGCCGGCTCGGGGGAGCCGAAAACTCCACGGCTCAGCTTATTGTGTAGCCTCGCTTAATGCACCGCACACCGGGCTCGTGGGCAAAAGGCTGGCCGGCTGATTGGGTATTTGACCGGGGAATTACAGCCACACAGAGACAGGCAGAGATTATTGGGCCCTCTAATTACTGCGCCTTCTGTGGATGTAAAACGTGGGGGATCATAAGGGGCTGCTTCATGGAGCTTAACACCAGAGAGGAGACACCTTAGTGCAAATGAAAGTTACACAATGAGATGTACCGTCCAAGTAAGGGAGTTAATGACAAGTCACATGGGTCCTGTACGTGACATCATGGAGTTTAGCTCCTGCAGAGGCAAGTTCAAGTGCAGTGTTTAACAGCCTCATCAGGACAATGGAGAAGAGCTGTAAAGAGCTGATTCCAATTTCATATTTTTCTTTTAACGATATTTGTAGGAACCAAATACGGGTGTTGGGGTTAAACTGTAATTTTGTTGTTTGCTCACTGGGTGGCGCTGTGGTGCACGCGGCACAGGTATCAGGGTAGGGGACTGTGGGTGCATTCGAACAGTCCATTTTTCTTAGGAGCTGTCCTAACTGGGTGAAATAACCCGACAATATTTCAGCCATAATAAGAGTTGTTGGAATTCTCTAGATGATAAGGAAAGGAGCTTCAATGCTTCCGAACTTATCTCCTTCAGCAAAGGAAACATCTGAGCATCCTTTATCTGTCCAGTCAGGAGTCACAATAAACAAGCATTATACATAAAGTTGTTTTTTTTCAATGCCAAGTGTGAGTGGAGTCAGATCTTCTCTGCACCCTCGTTCTCCTTTCCTATCTTCTGCTTCACATCTTTCCTTGACCCTGTGACGTATTCCATCAGGTCCAGAAGAGCTAATGGTTGTGTTTATTACTGTGTTTATACAATGTTCACTGTGTGGAATCTTGGTGGAAATAGACTATTCTCATAACTAAGCAAATAAAAGGATGTTCTGTAACAAATGGACTGCTAAGTGCAGCCATATCATAGGCTTATGTGCATCAAACTAGCAGAGCTTAGCTCCTGTAACAATATCCTTGACATTACTCCTGGACGATGTAACAATCTTGTAGCTTTCACAGTTATAATTGTTGTAAGTGAGAAATCATGCTCTTGCCATGCAGGAGAGTTTGAAAAACTGCAGTACCCACGGGCCTTGGCTGCTGATGCTGAGGAGAAGAGGCCAAAAGATGAAAGTTGGCAGGATAGTTGCTGAATTCAACCAAAATAGAGCCAGAAATCCAAAGTGGATTGATGTAATCTGCCGAGGGTAAAATCGTTTTTCTCCACGACATGATCTTTAGCTCTCATCCGTCATCAGTGCCCCACAAGACAAGGCTGCTCCCTCATCACAGCTATGGCCAATTCTAAGAAACTAGTGCAGTGTTCGTTCTAATCCTGCCTGTTTGGAATTGGATGTATTTATACATACTTTTTTTGCCAAATGTAAATCTGTAAATTATTTTCTTTAAATATTTATACCAAGTTATACTACAAATAATGAAGTTTATTTAGTCTGCCCTTGCATCGGATTGGCATGGGACCATGGGACGTACACCTGAGAAGTGTTGTGACCAAAGTGAATCTGACTGGAACAAACAGTGCTACTTGTATTTCATCTACTATAAGAAAAGTAATTAAAGAAATAAAGGATCAGATTTCCTGCTTAATTCTGTGTTGCCATTTCTATTATTTTCCCATCTAATTGCTTGGCCAACCTCCTCAGTGACTAATTGGTATACCTGATGGTAACTGATGCTAAATACAGATAGAGTGTGAGAGGCAACACACACACACACACACACACACACACACACACACACACACACACACACAGACGCCCTCGTATTCTATCAGTAAGAGTATCTGATGTGGCACACGGATCAGCAGCGCCAACCCACACACACACACACACCTCCACGCTCTGTCTCCAGTTACAGCGGGTGCATATAAGTTTGGACTGTTAAATATTAAATGCTGTAATACGGCGAAGTGTTGTAATGGAGGAAACCTCTAAAAGGTCAAGCTCGGACCACAGGCTGTGCTGTAGTCATGTGGTCGACCATCATTTTATATCTTCTCCTGCAGCACTTGACAAATGTTCACATGCACGAGTCGCCTGCATAGACTGTATATGAAGACGGAGGACACTACAGCTCCACTAAAGTGAAGCCAAATCACAGCGGTTGTCCCCTGGTGGCTAGCTGCTGTATAAATCATAATATTGGATTAGTTAGTTAGTGGAGGGGACATGGGCCAAACAAAAAGTAAATCATCTTCACATTATACATGAACAACCGCTTCCCAGTTGGGGCCACAGAGTTCCTCCTACAACTGACTTGTACTGAGGTGCGGTAACTAGCACTGAGTATCTTTTACAAAACCTTAATTGCATTTCCTTGCCAGCATTAAAGAAAAATGGAATGCTATGTTAACAAGGAGGATAAAAAATAGATGCATGAATGGCGACATCCTCAACAGCCCCCCACTACAGTTCACACTCACACTGTGAATTTAAAGAGAAGCATTAAATCTGTATTTATACACTTCAAGCTACTTAAAGGCAGCCGCCATAAATAGACTGAAGTGCATAACACCCACACGTTACAATCATGTGCATGCACACAACTGCAGTACATATAGTATGTGCACGTGTGCGTGTACAAACATACTTGTGAGGACTAATTTCTTGTCCTCTTGACATTTAGCTCAACAAATCATCTGAATCTATTAATTAGCTTAATATGTACTAATTAACTCTAGTAACCCGAGTTCTGACCCTAAAATAACCCCATGGGGGGATGACGACAGGCCAGATGACCTCACCCTGAAGATATGAAACTCAAATAATTCTTAACTGCAGCAGAAGTACAGGAACAGAGTGACTCACACATACAGTCCGCATCAGAACGCACACACACACAGTGATTTCCCCCGTCGTCTGATCTGGTTCATGTCTTCCTGAAAAGGAACCAGAGATAATAGAGAGAACCAGTGAATCGATTCTCGATGCTCCAGTTCACTCCAGTTTCTTCCAGTTTCCTCCCACACCAGCCTCGCACACCTGTCACAGCCGAGGAGGTTATTCCATAAAAGCTACAGTGCACATTTCATTTGGAAAAAAGAAATGTTGCTTGTGGAATATCAGTCACGCAGAGATACTGTATGTCCCGCAAAGCTACTAGAGTGAATCTCCACCTTAGTCACAACACATTGGGCTGTAGCAGGATTTGGATTTCTGGGTTTGTATAGGCCCTAAAACTGAATTATACTCTATTACAGTATTATACTACGTACTATCCCAGATAGGATTAGGGTATTGTTATAGTAGAGCATTCAGACTCCTTCTGGAGCAAATCATATCATTTCCTTGCTGGAAAATAAAGCTGCTTTACTTGCTTTGATTCATTTAGATGTCACATCTATAATGCATAAGGACATAAACAATTTCATATCCTACAATATGAATGCTAAAGGAGAAATGTCAAACAACGNACTGACAGAGACAGGTACGACGGGAGACAAAAGAGACAGTGAAGGGAGGACCATCCAGTGGTTTTATGTGCTCTGAGGAATCTGGGGGGGGGGGGAAGGCGCAGCAATCTGTTTTCATGTCTATTCAATGAGCACGCTCATCACTTGATAAGCGTCTACAGTTCATAGGTATGCTAAAAAGCTCACAGTGTTTCTACAGTAACAGTAGAGAGAGAGGCCTGTGGGGAATGAAGAGGATTATCATCTAATCCATTTAGACGCTCGATGCCCTGTACATCAAAACATATACATCAGTTCACCGCCATAAAACAAACTTGCATTCAAGAGACTTTACTTCACACCCACTCACACTTTTCTGTTGAATGAGACAGAAAGAGCCTTCAACTGGAAAAGAGAAAGAGGTGACATAGGGGAAAGGGTGATGGAGGAGGAAGAGGAGGATTGGAGAGGAGGGGAAGATGAGATGGTTGATATGGTGTCAGTCCTAAAAACTTTGAGTGTGAGCTGTGAGTGAAGGCTTGCAGTGTTGCCCCATCTTCTGGTCAAATTTGAGTATCACAGTTGATAAGTCATGAGACTATTGTAGCTACGTTACTAGAGAGGGGATGTACATTATTTGAACTTCACTATAAATTACTTAAAATCACTCAAAGAAAAAAGAAGAATTTATAGCAGATAACTTTAATTTTCTGAAAACACAAAAAGCTAACAAGTTCCAATTATTTCACTTTGCAGAATCGATTGAAAAATATTTACAGGCACAAAAGGCTTCATTAAAAAACATTAGATCCTTCCAACACATTAATATTAAAAACAGATTTTCAAATGACTGATATTTGTAAGAGCTTTTATCTACAACTCAGAAAACAAATCTGATTCTCTCAAAATTCCTCGATAACCAAAGATGATCAATACTTTTCCAGACTTAAATTATGGGTCTTTACTGTCAGTCTCTGCTCAGCTGTGGGTTTACACAAAAACCTCTGAAAGCTTTAAGGGATTAAGTTTAATATAAGTTTAAGAAATATATTCCATAATTAGAAGTGACTACAGCACTGACCAGCACGTGCTAAATGTCACAGGCCACTGCTACATGACTGTGCGACGACTGTCTTCTACACAAGTTATAAATTAACATTAAGATATTTGACCGTTAATGTGTTTTTGGAATCAAAATGTCACGAGCACCAAGTTTTTAAATACGTGAAAGACAGTCAGTGCAAATAAAAAGATGAATAGATGTATAAATAAATAAAAAAACATGATCACCAGAACACTTATTACATTACCTGCAATATCTACACAGGGCATCCAACTAATTTAATAATTCCTAGCATTTTATTTACTTTGTGTGCTTTCAATATTTCATATTTTTTTATTTATTTAACAGACTGACCCTTTAACACACGCAAATATATTAGTGGTGAACCTTTGCCTGCCATTCACTTCAATGTGTGCTAGTGAGGGGTTGAGTATTTTCCCATGGCGAGGCAAGTAGCAGCGTGGCTTCCCATGGAGTTTAACCTCGGTGAACTCTGGTCTGCGATAAACACGTTGCATTTGCATATGTGTGACATTGCCTCCTGGGATAAAGGGAACCGTGCAGCACGACTTCAGTGCCAATTCAATTAACAGTTACTATGTTTTAAAATAACATTTGGGGGTTGTGTTGCATCAGTACACATTTCACACTCATTTTATAGATAGTGTAAGACTGAAAACCAAACTAAAGGAAAGTTTGCAGCAGGTACAGACTTTAGATTTTCATATTGATGCTGATTTGAGCAAGAAAAAATAAAAGACTCCAGTAAATGTTATTTTGTGAGCTTGGTGTGGATGTTGGACTTGGTCTAAGCAGTGCGATGAAAACGTTCTCTCCTGTGGTGAGTTTTAAATACATGTGAGAGTCTGCTACATTTATATTTGGTTGTGATGCATTTTACATCAACCAGCAACGATTGGTCACTCAGAGCAGAAGACGGGCACAACCATGGGAGGAACCTAAGCGAGAAAAACCTCACACAAGAAAAGTTTGCTTGGCGCTCAAAGGAAAGCCTACCGTCTAAAAAACAGAAAGAGATGTGTAGTGAGGACATGTGTAATGACTCTCAGTGCCACAAGGGGGAGCCATCTGACAGGTTTAAATCCTCAGATTTGATCACTTCCAGTTTTTCTATTTTTCAGTCAGAATGTCAGACTGATGTAGTTTGGGTCCTTTGTCCAGAGTTTATTACTATTTGGTTGGGATTTGGTTTGATTTGTACACATGGTTTAAAATATAAAGAGGAACAACTTGAAAACGTTCCCAACTTGAACTAAGTGGAGCGTTTGTCCACACCCTGCTTGATTCCCAGCACCAGGTGAACAAACCAGTTGATCTGAACCATCCAGCCTTTCTCCCTGCAAATCTCTATCTGGTCCAGCAGGTGGCGTTGAGCCTCGTCCTCGTTGCGGCCGACAGTCAATGCCTCTCGGATGTACTCGATATCCTCCTTACTGGTCAACTGGGGCATGCCTGTTAATACACAAGAATGATTAGCTTCCATTTCCAGACAGAAGAGTGAGCATCTGTCAGTACCTATCTGTCGTTTTATTATTTCACGTCTGGTCATTATCCATGTATTCGTTCTGATTCAGTCAAAAACAAACAGTGGCTTCAAACAAATTATCTACTTTTCAACTACAACCTTCAACAAGTTAGTGTTGTTCAGCTGTGAAAGGGTCACACGGAAAAAACTTTGGGTTTATAAGGAAGGAGGTCTTACCGGTCATCAGCATCATGGAGAAGAGGATGATGAGCAGGTTGGTGTGATGCCGCAGGGCGAGGTAAGCCTTTACACACACGTCCTGTGACACAGACAGGAAATGTGTAATTATAACAGATATATCCTGCTCATACAGACCTCTGTAAATAAAAATGGACGACAGGACTGATCCCCAAAAGTGAAGCCTAAGTGTCTTAATCGCCACCTGGTGGCTGGATGCAGTATAGGTTATAAATTCCATGTTAGCACAAATCATATCAATAAGATGGATGTTATAAAAATGGGATTAAATGACATGATTGACAGCTGAGACTGCGATTGGTTGAGCAGCTCAATTCCCAGATCACTCCTGCACAGACTGTGGCAAAAAACCTCACCTGGAACTTCTGGAAGTGGGGGCTACTTTTCTTTCCTGACGTTCCCATGACGTACAGGAAGTCTGGTGTGAGCACGAAGGGAACCCACTCCTTATTGATTCCCATGAAGCTCTTGTAATTCCCCAGGATGTGACCGAAGTCGATGTGGAAGAGATTCCCTGCAGGAACACAAAGGAAACTAGTTTTCAGTGCTTCCTTTAGACTTTTTTTTTTTTTTACCATTGTTGAATTAATGCATCAAACACAGTGTGTATGAGACCATGGGAGACATTTAGTTTGACAGAGAATAAAACTCGGTGTAAATGACCTCGATTATGAATGTTGGGGCTTGTGGCCACTTGGACGACACCACACGAGCAGTATGGAGGCATGTTATGTTTTTCTGTTGTTTTATTACATCTGAAGAAGAAGCTACAGTTAAATTCAATTGTACTGAATTCTGTGTGTTTTGTGGACTCAAACACTTCATCACTCTATCGGCATAGTGGTGAGTAGATAATGAGTGAATTTTCATTTTCTCCATTTAAAACTAATATTTTAGAATTTTTTTAATTTAATAATGAGATTTTAACAATAACTTAAGTCATCACTGTTTATTTTCAGTTTGCCTCACAGTGAGAAGAAAACACAAACAACCTCATTACCAGATTCAGTGATCATGATGTTGTCATTGTGGCGATCCCCGATCCCCAGAACATATGTGGCCACACAGTAGCCACCACAGGAATACAGGAACTTCTCCACAGCCTCCTGAAACTACAGAGAAGGAGAAAAGAAACAGTTTGACGCACAGGAAAACCCCTTTTTTAGCTTATTTACCATGACTATGACTAAGAAGAGGAAACGGTGTCTTTGTGCGGTGGTACTCGACAGCTCGCAGCTGGGCAAATGTGTAAACTAGTGCAACAATGAAAAAAATAACCCTCTTCCTTTAGATTAGTTATATAAAGAGCTGTGCTATGATATATTTGACAAGAGAACACACTGAAGCACAGAGTGGAGGCGCCTTTAGGATGCAATCTTGAAAACTTGAAAACAGAAGCTAAAACTACTAAGAACAAATGAGTGGTGCAGGTGTCATGTATGGTGTGTGTGTGTCTGTCTGTGTGTGTCTGTCTGCGTGTGTGTGTGTGATTGTTTAAGTGACGGGAAAAATGTGGGTTGTTTCCTTCCTGTGTCACACGGCTACTTCCTCTAACGTCTAAACTCTGCCTCTAAACTTTCAAAACCGCTCCATCAGCCCATTTAATCCATTAAATATATTAAACAAGGTTTCTGCAGAGTGAACAAGGTAAAAACTGTTTCCACCTGAAGTAGCCAAATTGTGAATAACCATGGAAACGCCACAGGCAGACAGTAGGTGTCCATAGACTTTCACATGCACAAGCCAAGTGTAGTGCAATCAATTCTGACCAGTTCACATTGCTATTGTCTGTCATTTCTATTTAAATTTCATTATATACATCAACAACAAAAATGGATGGAAGCATTGGAAAGAGGGCATTTGTGTTTCTGGTCAAAGAACCCTGACGTTCCACAATATCGAACCAATAATAATTTACATGTTATCTGATTTGCTGACACTGAAGCCTGAGCGTGTGTTGTACCTTGTCCTCACTGACACACTTGTCCCGAAGCCACTGATACAGGATTTCATCTTTAAAAGCACCGGTGCTCCCAACGACACTCTGCTGGATGTTAGCAATGGTGGTGGCATCCTTAACGATCTCAATCATACCTACAAAGATAAAGACGAGAAGAGAGAGGGGTGAATATCACAGACAGACTTATTTAATGAGTTTGGAGCTTGAGTATTCTGCTGTATTAAGCACTGAAACTGTTATTAAATCACTGTAGTTGGGAAAGGTTTTATTGATGGTGTGGCATCGTTTAGGCACCAGTTTTAAAAGTATTAATTTAGCACCGGTATCAGAAAAAACCCAAACCATACCCAACCCCGGGTGTACAACCCACCTATTCTGTTTCCAGTGGAGATGCAGCCGTATGGTAACAGGCAGAGATCCAGTGATTCCGTCTCCCAGATTGACTCCATGATGAGCAGAATCTGCAGGGACAAAATGTGTGAATGAATGTGCAAAGGATAAGAGTCATTATTTCATAATTTTTGCAAGCACCTTTGTTTGAGAGCAAGTCATCACTCACCTGCAGGATGAGCATATCCTGTCGGAGGTCATCTCCGTCTTTGAAGATGATGCCGATGGGGTCTTTGGACAGAGTGGTGGGGTCGGCCCTTTTAAACTGCAGCCACAGCGGCTTCTTCTTAGACGCCATCACTTTGCATTGCTCAATCTGTATGCACAGTATTTATTACTATAGGTTAGGTGTTCCTAATGTGAAATCAGTTTAGTCTTCTTAGCTAAGGCACAGCACTTGTTTTAATGTCAGTGGTAATTTCTCACTTTCCCTAAAGTGTTTTTATATGTGCTTCCAAACAGGCATCATAGGGATCTTAGAAACATATATATAAGTATGTATGTGTGTGTTTATGTGTGTGTGTGTACGTGTGTTTTTTCTCTCTACCAGTATGTGTGTGTTTTTGTCTCTCACCAACAGGGCTCCAGCTCTCAGTCCAGGATCATACGGGACCCTGAAACTCTCTGGCAGACCAGACGACTGCAGAATCTCCAGTTTCTGACGCAACTGTAACACCACTGACACACACACACACACACACACACACACACACACACACACACACACACACAACAATAGTTTCACTTCCTGAAGGTTATTCAAACTAGACCGATACCTCTGCCACCCAACTTCAATATTTTTCCTTTCTTCAGTTTTCATTGCAACATTTCAGCCAGTAACTCATGCACATTATAAAGAAGTGGTGAAAATAAGGGCATGGAACATTAAACATTAAACACAATCAAACAAATGCAGTTTTACTAACAGGAACTGATGGAAACATTTGACACAGGTTAATATCTTCACCTAGGACATTGTTTTAATCCATGTCAATTTGTTGGTTTATTTGTTACCAGGATTACACAAAAGGAATAATCTTATCTCCACCAAATGTTTTTTTTGGACGAGTTTTCCTTTCACATACATGCAGGAGGAGATTATAACGGTCAAACCTGACACAACCACAGGAAAATGTCAAACATTCAGGCGAGGGATGGCTTCTATGTAGAGCACGCAAGAGCCAGGACACGACTTAAAAATTCCACTGCAGAGATCACATGTTTTTGTTTACAGCACATTGACACCAGTGTTGGCCCTCAGCGTAATATTCATCCTGAGACATATTTGTTTTAATTTTAACTGCGTTTCTAGTTCATACTGCTCAGCTCAGCTCACAGAAGTCAGGAGAGTTTCACTTCTTACCTTGTGCAGTGACGTCATATTTGTCAGCAGACATTGCCTTCATCTCACGGGTGACTTTCTGCAGAGCATCTGTAATCTCCACCTTAGAGAGCATCAGTTCATATTGTGAGTTGTTGAAAAAGCTGCTTTACTGATTTTTTTTTTTTTTTTCTATCTAAACCCAAACTAAACTAAAGGAGTGGTGTATGTGCCTGACTGACCTGTTCCCTGTAGTCCATCAGCATGGCTTCCCCACAGCCTCTGAGGTAGGCCTCCAGCAGGACAGCATATCTCTGCTGGTAGTGCATGGACTGAGCGATCTCACTGCGCAGGAACCAGAAGAGAAAATGACCAATACGCTTACTCTGTGGAGAGAAACCCAAACACAGGGAGGACAACAGAGAGGCTGAGGTGAATCAAATGTCATTTTTGTCATAATACATCATCAATCCAGAAGAAACAGACAATGCAGGAAGACACAACAGAGACGAATATAATCAATTATAGACACCAGAGAGAAACACACACAAACACACACACACTACAAAGATGAGACAAAGGAAAACCAGACAGACAGATGCTGGGCCTGCGTACCCTCAGAGCTCTCTTCAGCAGGAACCTCACCAGGGCACTGTCATGGTAGGGCTCAAACTTCACCGCCTGCAAGAGACAAACACACACACACACAAATTAGTACAATGAAAATAAATTGTCTTTACCAGTGCTGCAAACCTTTAAAGTCGCAACCCAGGGATATAATCAGGCTAGTCTACCACGTCAGAATTCTTCACTGAACAATTAAATTGTGCTAAAATCAGTTTTATTTTTCACTCCAAAGATGCACTCATCTCATGTACACTCAGACTCTCACAAACACATGCAGATCCTGGTGACCCCCAGGAATTATCTCTCAAGCCACAGGTCGAGAATCACTGGTCTTAACAGAACTAATTGCATGGATGGTGAGTTGGATAGATGATAGTTAGATAAGCTAGACAGCATTTCCTCACTTGTCTGCAGATAAAAAAATATATGACCTCATAAGCTGAAGGCCACCCAGAGGTGCTCAGCTCTGGTAACAGGTTTGGAAGCAGTGAGGAGAATATTAAAGGGGATTTGTCACCAGATGAGAAGGAAGAGTCTTTCATCAAATCCAGTCTGAGGCCACATCCATACTACTACGTCTACATCTCTGTCCATTATAAATTGTAATCCCTGTCCATACTAACACTGAAAACTCATGATCACGTGACCACTCACATACAGAAGAATTTAACTGCACAACAGCTGTTGGCAGAGACAGCAGGGAGAGCGATGCTTACGCTGGTAGCTGAGGCTCGTTTTCTTCTAATCAGTTCATCTTCGAGTCCAAGTGAATGATTTGACCAAATTTGAAGAATTCTTGAGATATTGTGCTCACAAGAACGGGACGGACAGATGGATGGACGACCCTTAAACATAACGCCTCTGTCCACTGGCTGTTGCTGGAGCGGAGGCATGACGATTGACACGTATAATACCTGCTCTGCTTTGAGAAGCAGGATGTTTTTATGCTCATCTCTGCACATGTACTGGAATGAAAACCATGTGTTGCTGATGTGCAGAGGATACAATGACATCAGCATGTGGAGTCATTTTCCTATCAGACCACAAGGCCCGCTGTTTATCTCAGTGGATAATTCACACTGCTCATGCAAAGTTGACCACAGAGTCAAATATGGAAACATGTCAGAAGACAAACACGAGCTGCCTCTTTGCTCGTGCTCGTCAGTGAGTTGGAGCAGGATATTTACTTGAAGTAGTGCTCCATCATATCATTTTGTACTGTCCTGTCAGCCAAACCTGTATGTCATCAGTATGTGGTGTGAAAAAATAAATAAATGATGCTGTGTTAGTACTGGTGATGATCTGGCTGCACCTACTTCCTGCTGCAGGTGAAAACAAACTCTCTCTCTTCACGGGTGGGTGGTACAAAATAGTGTCAGGGTGAAACTTGTTTTGCGGAGGCAAGTCATGTGATGGGAGAATCAGAGAAGGCTGCCCATCAATACTAAAACGTACAACAGAGTTTTTAAACTAAACTGGGGCCAGCAGCGTTTCCAAACTTCTCTGTTTTAGTGTAGGTTTAAGTGTAATTTAGAATAATGTGAACACCCGGCCTATCTTTAGTAGAGTGATGGATGTAATGTAGAAGTGTAGCTGTAGCCCAAGCATCAGAAAAAATAGCTTCACCTGCACAAGCTGCAGAAGATATCTGAGCACATCATCGTCCTCCAGCGTCTCCAGCTTCCTGACAGCCATTGAGCGAACCTGAGCGTCAGAGTAATGACAGTCGAGCAGCTGCATGGCCAGACCAACATCCAGACCACTGCAGGGGAACAACATAAACCACAAGTGAGGGGAGTCTGCAGCGACTGAGGACACAAACATGTATAGACGGTATGAAGAGCTCTTGTACCTGCTGTCCCAAGCACTGCTGCGCTCCAACAGACGGTGTGTCACCAACACGTCCTCCTGTTTCCCCCATCTGACTGAGCCCAGCAGCTTAGGGTACGCCCTGAGGACAGGGAGAGATTATTTTCAGAATTAGAAATCAGGTAATACCAGGAAAAAAACCACTAAACGGTTGAAGTCTGATTTCTTTCAAAGAATAGAAGAAGTACCTGGGGTCACGCATACACTCGTGCCTGAAGTGCCAGAGCAGCTCTTTGTCCTCGGGACTGAGCGGATGCAGCGGGTCGGTCGCCACAATAGCTTCAAACTGCTTCTTCAGATGGTTCGGCATCTCCCTGTGACCCCGCTCCCCTGCCTCGGCCTCCTCGCCCCCAGCGACCGCATCCCGGCTCACGTCCCGGCTCTTGGGCAGCACCACAGGGTAGCAGTACTTGTCCAGTAAGATGGCGATGGCCATGGAAGAGGCCTTGTCCGGGTTGGTTGCCGAGGTGAGCTTGTCTGCGTTGATGCTGCTGCTGCTGCTCTCCTCGCTCTTCTCTGGCATTTTCCACATGTGGAGGATGAACTCGCCCTGGCGGAGCAGCGAGCGGTGATCGACGAGGAGCAGGTTGACATAGTATAGGAGACGACTCTTGGTCTTTGCTGAAAGACGGACAGAGAGACAGTGATAAGTCACATCCTGCAAACTATCAGCATCAGAGCCTGCTTCATGTAAGGAAACCTCACCATCATGGCTGCCTGCTCCTCCTCCTGTAGTGTCCTGGTAAGAGCTCCCCTTCGAGTTTGGTGTCTGAGGTTGTTTCCCACAAACCACCTGGATGAGAAGAAGAATGGAGAGCAGGAACAATTCAAGCTAAAATTATCCATCTCCCTCACATCACAGCATAAAGACACTCATTTCTACAGTGGTCACGATATTTACACCAGCTCTGAACTAGATGTCTGACCTGGAGGTTGAGGCGTGCCCCTTTAGGCAGGTCTTTGATTTTGATGTTAAACTCCAGCCAGCAGTTCCACAGCACTTCTTCATTGAATGTTTTGGAGGTTGTCCTCTCCTGAAAGAAAAAATTCAGGGTTAAACTCTCGTCCAAACAAAGCTCTGCATGTGTTTTAAAGTCAGTGATTCATGAAATAGACAGTTATAAAACTAACATAGATCTAAGACAGCTGTGGTTCTCAGATGTCATTTGTTGGATGTAGAGTTTAGATCTTTAAAAAGAATCAAACTCTGTGATACCCATGTATAAATGTGGTTCATATGTGAAGCCAAGTGCAGTTTGAAGGCAGACCTGAGATATCATGTTTAAGACCTTGACCTGTATCTACTCAAATCTAATCAATCCATAAGTCTCTATATTTGTACTTAATTTGAAAGGATTCTCTGGATGCATTCTTACTGTGTTTTTTCTTCCTTTCTGTTTGGTTTACCTGGGCTAACAGCTGCTGGCCGTGGAAGATGCTGGCCTCTATGAAGACAATAAACTCTGGGATCTTGGGCATTGATGGGATGTCGATACCCAGCACCTTCACTCTGAACTTCCTGTTACAGTCCCACATGGAGATGGTGAACACCCGCTCATGGTCTTTCTCATCGATGGTCAACTGCTCATGGGTACCTGATGTAGAAAAAGTTAAGAGAAATGTCTAGAAGTTTGGTCATATCTCAATAAAACTAAATGGACATAATAGATTCTGAGCATCACACACAAATAACACAGTATTTGTGAGTTACCTGCGACACCGGTGCAGTCATCCACCTGGGCCCAGTCCTCCTTGTGGACCAGATCCAGATCAGGATCAGGCGGCATCTCCAGAACCAGGTGGATCTCCTCGCCATTCTTCAAACACTGACGGATCCAGTTGAAGTTCTGCAGTGGTTTATCCCCGTACAGATACTCCTCCCTGAGTAAACAGACACCGACAATGTTACTTTCAAAGTTGAAAAGTAAAATAAAAAGGATGATCTGCTTAGAACAGCCATCTACAAGATAATCAAGTAAATCACTGTTTCACTTTCGGAGCAAAAATGATTTGCTGTAGTCAGAAGCAGCTCAGGTGTGATTCCACATCTCACATACCTGCCACACACACGTAGCACATAGTCTGCTTCACACACGTCTTCAGGGATGCCCAGCAGAGATCTTTTATTTGCTGTCTTGGCGAAAAAGCTTGACAAGACCTGAAGAGAAATGGATTAGAGCAAAGAAAACAGGTGTAAAAAAAGAGCGCAGTAAACACATGAGCGGAGTGCATCACTACATTTGTCTACCTGAGCCGGTGTGTCGTCGATGGAGACCTTGATGGTCTGGCTGGCTGTGGTGATGTGGATCACCACCAGGATGTGACTGTTACTGAGCTGAGAGGTGGAAAAAAACAACAGAACAAATTAATTAATAATGAAAACACTGAATACAGAAACATTCAGTAGAAAACTAATAACTTATAAGTATAAAAAGTAAATCATTTAAACATTCAATTAACAAAAAACGTGAGGAAATAGTCGG